TCTCTACAGATTGAAACAAACCCCTAGAGCTTGGTATGACGATTTAAGCAAATTACTACTTGAAAATATTTTTCAAAGAGAGAAGGTTGACACAAAAATTTCCATTAATAAAATAGAACATGACATTTTAGATGTGAAAATATATGCTGATGATATAATAGTTGATGTTGTTAATGAGTCCTTGTGCAAAGATCTCTTTGATATGAGGCATAATTAATTTGAAATGTCTATGAGGCAGTAGCTTCAATACTTTCTTGAATTACAAATTCATCAACCAGTGGAAGACTTTCTCAAATAAATACACTTAAGAAATTTGAAATGCAAAAATAAATCTAAAGTTTGACATCAATACAGATGAACAATGCCAACAAAGATTGTCGCTCAATAAAATAGTCTCAAAGGTGGATGTCGCCCATTATGGAGAGAAGGTTGATCTTATGACTACCTTAAATGTGTTTTTATGTGCTTATTTCTCCACCTCGTTATTGTTGTGAATCGGATACCTTAAAGCTAAGTATAAACAGTTTCTTAATGATCAAGAAACACACAAGGGTTAGGGTTAATAAAGAAGAAAATAACAAGGATTGATTATTAAACTGTTATTCTTTCCTTTCTCTTAGAACAAGATTACAAGTATACAAGAATAATAAAATAACCTATCTCTCTTGAAATTAGGATTTTATCTTCCTATTTTTCCTTATGACATAATTGAGAAACTAGTATCCTATTTATAAGAAAAATAGCACACTAACCTAATGGGCTTTTTAACAATTACCCATTACAAGCTAACTTAGGGTACAAGCTAACTTAAACAATTGGGCTTACAAGCAAGGCCTAATTCAACATGCTAACAACCTTAGCAGTATTGACTAATGCATGTTAGAACAAACCTCGACTACAACATGCATTACTCGCGAACATACTTCGACCATACTAGAGTTCGATCCAACATCTCACAAATCTCCACCTTGGATCTAACTCTATAACATCAAGAAACTAGATTTCTTCATGCAGCTTTATTAACTGCATACAGTGGAAAAACTCGTAACTGGGCAACATCTTGGTGATCATATCAGCAACATTATGATCTATCGAAACCTTCAGCACTTGGACTTCTCCATGCTTGATTACCCCTCTGATGAAATGCAGCCTTACATCAATGTGATTGGTTCACTCATGATAGGATGAATTCTTCGACAAGTGTATTTCACTTTGACTATCACATTTAACAGTGATAACTCGACCTTGAAGTTTTAGCTCCTTTGCAAAACCTTCAAGCCACAATGCTTCCTTCACAGCTTCATTTAGGGCAATATACTCCGCTTCAGTGGTTGATAAGGCAATGACCTTTTGAAGTGTTGTTTTCTAACTGATTTTTGTCCCAAATATAGTGAACATATATCCAGAGATAGATTTTCTGGAATCCATACAACCTGCATAATCAGAGTCGACATATCCTTCGATTGTTGCTTTACTATCTTCACCCAAGACTCCACCATAAATTAGGACTCTATTCAGAGACCCATTTATGTACCTTAAAATCTAATTCAATGCTTGCTAGTGAGCCTTTCCAGGATTTGCCATGTACCTGCTTACAAGACTTACTGCATATGCTATGTCGGGTCTAGTGCAGACCATATCATACATCAAAGAACCTACTATGTTAGCATATGGAATGCTATTTATATAAGTTCTTTCAACATCAGTGTTGGGACACTAATCTATACTCAGCTTGAATTGAGGGTTTGTCGGAGTCACAACAGGCTTTGAATTCGACATACTATAGCATAAATATCGTTGTTTATGCTATAAATATCATGTTTTATAGCATAAATGTCGTGTTTTAGCATAAATATCATTGTTGAACGACCTCCTATAGCGTGATCTCCCTCATAGATCGTGTTATGATGGTTTAGTTCTAAAGTGGACCTGATTCATCCGATTATGACAATTAACTATTAACCACTGACTTTAATTTTTGTTCAATATTGTCTTGTTTAACTTTATGTCCATATATCACTGTTCATATATTATTTTCCATATTCATCTTGTCATCTTCATCTTACCTTTTTCATCTTATTCAAAAACATAAAAACATCGTAAAACTATCGAAACCCTAAAAAAGCTTTCAATTGGTAGACTGTGTTTCTTAGCTTTGACACTTAAGATTTTCTCTGATTCCAATGATGTTTTTGCCTATCCCTAATTTCAATGGAGGGTTTCCCCTGTTGACTTGTAAGTCATACCTTTAGAATAGTTTAGTTACTTTACTACCCACCTTATGACCTTATTAGGATTCTTTTCTTGGCCTTGTTAAAGCCAATTTGTCTTTTATAACTTAGAACTAGATATAGAGTTTGCAAACTCTATGTGAGTATCATTGTTATGATTACTCATTTCCCCTTTTGACTTTTATTAAAGTCAACCATAGTTAAAATTTTCAACTTAGATTTAGAGAGCTTATCAATTCTGCATAAGTGTTATTGTCATGAACACTTATTACTCTTGGAACCTTGACCATAGACAAGAGTTCTTCATCCCTAGTTAGGTGAACTATGAATGCTCTGATTCCATCCTAGTAAAGATACGTAGGCACGAGATGCGACGTCTTGGCGAGCATACCTTGTATATACCCTAGGTCTTTACCTTAGCACCTTTTCCTTAGCAAGCAAACAATAACATAACACAAATACTTACAAGAGATTCCTATAGAGTACTACAGATACTTAGGATGCTAACATCTTTCCTAGGTATAACCAACTCCCGAACCTTAGATCTCTTAACTTTGTTGTTACATAGCACACTTATGGTTTTCTTCGATCTTTACCCTTTTCTTTGGATAAATCAAAGCTCGATGGTGAATTTCAAAGATTTATGATTCAAGTTAATTCAATAGCTTGATATCCGATTCTCACTACAACAATGAGCATTGATAGAACTAGTGAATTATTCAAACTTGCTCGTAGAAGTTGGAACTCTCAAATTATTAATATGATCATGACTCTCATCATAATAATTGTTTGGAAAAATTGACACACAAGAAGTGATATCATGTTTAAAAATGGTAAATTATACTTTGATAGGGACATTCTTCATATTAAACAATTGGTCTATATGACATCTAGTTCTTTTAAGGGGCACATGAACTCTTTCATTCAAGTGTTTACAATTATTAAATAGTTTGACACCAAATGTTGACATCCTTCTGTACCTAGTATCATACAAGTTAGTTTGTGATTTCCTAGTCATAATTGGATTAAGTGCAACACAAATGGATCATCAAGAGAAAATATTGAAATATCAACTTGTGGCATATTTAAGGATAATTTAGAAACATTTTGAGGAGCTTTCTCAACTAAGATTAGAGTTTGTACCTCCTTTCAACCTGAATTGCATGAACTCATGTTTGCTATCAAATATGCTAACAGAAGAATTAGAGAAATATTTCGCTTGAAACTGACTCAATGTTGGTCATTCGTCCATTTTTTTAATGTGAATCTTATTCTCGGACGTCTTCTACTTAAATGGAAAAATACTTCACACTATATGTTTTTTTAGATTCTAAATATCTCACATTTTTATTGAGGGAAATGTTCATGCAGAAATATTAGTCCATTCATTTTTTTTATGATCTTTATTGATATTCACTTTCTATTTGTACTTTTGAATTTTTTTTAGAGATAGTTGAACATATCCAATTATATATTTTTGCTAATTATTTAATGGATTAGATTTTATGTTTATTTTTTTCTTCCTTTTTTTATTCAATAATTAACTCTATTTAAAAACACGTTAAGAATACATTAAAAACGAGAGCGTAATTACACACTTTAATTTCTTAAATGTAAGAGTTATCATCACTATGGTCTTTGAATGTATAAAATTACAAACATATTCACAACTATCTCTTTGAAATTGTTAAAGACCTAATCCATACGAAAATAAGAGTATACATTGAGTCATTCTCTAAGAATAAATTAACATAATCTTTATCAACCTTAGCCATTTTGTAAAGCTTAGTAATTTTCTATATATATATATATATATATATATATATATATATATATATATATATATATATATATATATATATATATATATATATATATATATATATATATATATATATATATATATATATATATATATATATATATATATATATATATATATATATATATATATATATATATATATATATATATATATATATATATATATATATATATATATATATATATATATATATATATATATATATATATATATATATATATATATATATATAAAGGAATTTTAAAATTTTATATAACTTTATTTTTTTTCCTTCAATTTATATCCCATTTAAATCATTTTTTATAATTTAATATCCGATAAAAGAAAAAAAAAATGAAATAGAGAAAGCAAAGAAACATTTAAGTCGCAATTATAACTATTTGTTTTAAAAAACTATTAATGACTACAATATTTAAATAGAATTTAAATGTATCCTTATCACCTTATTCACCATAAATGATTTTCAAACAATTTTAAATTTAAAAAAAAAATGTGTTTTTGATATTATTTATGGATTTATATACAATCAACTACAAGTCATGTCATATCATACAACCAAAAAAATATCGTGTGTATTTATATCACTTAAATTATGATAATTGTTTTGAAGCAGTTTATATCCCATTCATTACTCTTAAAAAATATACCTAATTAGTCTTTTTTTCATTGCATAGTGACCGTTGATTGTCCTTATCCTAGATCAAGAAAGAGTCAATGTGGGTCCCAAATGAAGGACTAATTCGTCATTTCCTTAATTAAAAAACGCGCATTTTCTTTCTTCTCGTGAATTATAGGAGCCTCTCAAATTCCACACTCTTCACTGTGTCCCTTTAAATTCCCCAAACACAATCCTCTATAAATTAAAACCACACATCAAACAAAAGATTCAAACAAACAAACAAACCTCAACACAACGAAACTTCATAGTGATAAAAAAAAACATCATGGCTTCAAAAAATAAAAATGAATTAATAAGCCACTACAACACACCGCATAAGCTATCTCTTCCACGGCCGTGTTTTTCGTCTGACGCCCCAACTCCGCCGCCGCGAACGACGGCTATCTCGGTTCCGTTTAAATGGGAGGAAGCACCCGGGAAGCCTAAGCCCAGGCCGTGTGACAGAGGATCGGAACCGAAAGAAAGAGAGACCAACGTCGTTAGAGCTTTGGAGCTTCCTCCGAGGTTGTTGTCGTCTTTGGAGAGTAATATCAACGCGCCGTCACCGACAACCGTTTTGGAGGGACCTTACGTAGGACGCGCCGTGTCGTTTACGACGTCGTATAGGGATAATAATAAGGAGAGTGTGAGTTTTGGGTCTAGTAGGTGGGGTGGGTTGAAGAAAAATAATAGAATCGATCGTGAGGGTAGTTTTGACTTTTCAAGTTGGAGTGTTGAAGGTGGTGATAAAGTGAAGATTACAAGGGTTAGAAGAAAAGGAAGCTTCTTGAACTTCTCACATGGAAGTTCACATTTTTTGGTACGTGTTTTTCATAGTATTAATTCTTTTTTCACATTAAGTAAACTTAAGTTAATGAGATAGATAATCCATTAAAGAATTTGCAAGATGAATGTAAAGCTGTATACTCTTATGATGTTTGGTGCTAGAAAAGTAGAAATTTCACTAGAATAGATAGATAACTAAAAAGTATCGCATTTGTTTTGCTGTGACTTTTAGAGTTTGTTGCGTATTAATATGATTTATTTTAGTTGTTGTGTTAATTAAGTAGCTTATTAAGAAGCAGTTTAATTTATTTTACAATTGTAGGCAAGCATTTATGGAAGCTTTAAGCAAGTGGTCCCATGGAGGCGCAAGCAAGAAAAGCAACATAGACCCAACAACGTTTGATATTTAACTAATCAAACGCCTCTCTTATCTTTTTACCTTAAAATAACATTAACACTGCCACTTTTATTGTATAGTAAAGAGGACGAATAAAACATCAATTTAGTTTATAAATTATCACTTTCTATTCATTTTGATCTCTTAACTATGGAAACTCGTAAGGATCAAATTGAAAACGAATGATACTTTATAGATCAAATTGATTATTTATTCGCTGCAAAAATAGATTATAAATTTATAATATTTTGAGACTCGTATGTCTTAGAAGTGAATTCAGATATTAAATTATATCAATATGTTACAAATAAAAAAAAAGAAGGAATTGTATGAAATGACTTAATGATATTATTACTCGTGTCACAACTTGGCTACTTCATTAATCTTTTTACCATAATGTTTGTTGGGATAACTTGTAATGTAAGGTAAAGAAAGGCAATGAATAAAGATGAACAAATTAAGGAAATGTAAATTGAATGGGGTGAAAAGTGATTTTTATTGAGTGAATGTCAACTCAATTGCATGCTTGACCTTTTTTATATACAACTAGAAAGCTAACAAATTTTGACAAAAATAATATTTTATTTAATATTAAAATAAACAATTAATTAAGATAAGTTACTTTAAAAATCAATGATCTAGCACTGAGTTATTTTAAAATTATCTTTTCATTAAAAATAGAGCAGTGAGGTTGAGAAAAAGAAAGCTTATTAAGGTTTTAAAATGTCAAATTTGTAATTTGTTTAATATTTTTGAATATATGTATCATTTCATTATAAAAATGAATGATTATGTGTTTTCTGTTAGTTTTGGGTGGAATAGTTTTTAAGTGGTCCTACCACAAAACTTTCCTTCCTTCATATTTTGATGGGATAACAAACAAAGGGAAATAGAATAATCTCTGGGTTTTTTTTTTTTTTTCCCTTTCTTTTTTGTTTCACTCAAACCAAACACTATAAATGTAACCTACTTCGAATCTTCTCATGAATTACATTCCCAATATTATATAGTTTTTTCATTTCTATCACTTTTGTTAGGTAATCAAATCATGCTCTCTTTAATGATTAGTAAATATGTCTAAGAGTTGCTATTTAATTTTTGTAGGATTTGGATCCTCTCCTTTTTTATATATATCATGCCACCTCTCATTCATTTAGTTTTGTAGGATTTGTAGTACTCGATTTCTAGGTTATTCTTATTCATTTAGTTTTTTAATAAGTGATATTTTCTTTCAATATGTTTACTCATACCATAATTCATTGGATGATTAGTCAAATCAATTGTTGATTTGCTATCGCCCAACAATTTAATTTGCATAACTTCGATTATCTTAAACTCTTCCTATAACATTTCCATCTAAAGTGCTTAATATATTGCATGTGAGGTTGGTACATACTCAGCTTCATATGATGATACAAACAATATTCCTGAATTCTTCGAGCTTCATGAGATTAATGTTGCTCTAATTAGACAAGTATCATGATGTACTCTTTCTATCATCTTGGTCTCCTCCCTAATTTGAATCAAAGTAGTCATATGACAATGCCTTCTTGTTAGTGTTCTTTTTGTTTGACATGAATAAACCAGATTCTGCAATGCCTTTGATGTGCCTTAGGATTCTTTGGGTTGCTAGTAGGTGATATGTTCTAGGCTTTTCCATGAACCTATTTATCAAGTTAACACTTTAACAAATGTTTAATCTTGTATTACATAGATACCTCTATGAGTCAATGATCTTCTTGTATAATGTTGCATCTACAATCTCATCATGTGTTTCCTTCTTCAATTTTATGCATATTTTCATAAGAGTTATTGTAGGATTGCAAATGCTTATTTTAAATTTCTCCAAGATGGCTTATGCATATTTCTTATAATGCAAGAAAACTCCACATTTTATATTCACAAACTCCATTCCTATGAAGTAAGCCAAATTCCCCATGTTACACATTTCAAACCCATTCTTCATGCTAGTTTTGAATTTTGTTAATTCAACTTCATTTGATCATGTGACCAAAATATCATCTCCATATAATCATAGTATGATCGTATCATGCTTATTTGAACCTTTAATATGCATTTGTTGAATCCTGACTTGAAGACAAAATTTCTAATTCATTTGTTAAATGGTCTAGGTCTGCTTCAATTCATACATAACATTTCTCATCATGTATACTTTTTCTTATTTCCCTTTGATCATAAATCCAAAACTAACAGAATGTAAACTGATCGTAAGGAATGACATTCTGTAAGGAACCATTCCTTTTTCTCATTCTATAAAGTTCATTTTCCTTAAAATCATTCCTTTTTAAAATCTTGTAAATTGATCGTAAGTCCACTTTGCTCAAAATCGAGAGAGAGAGAGAGAGAGAGAGAGAGAGAGAGAGAGAGAGAGAGAGCACCAATATTTGTTTAGGCAGTTCCCCAATTGTCCTCACTATGGGTATGCCTGCCCTTAAATCGAAATCAAATTGAGATATTTGAATTAACCTTTGCAATATCAGTTTTTTTTTAAGAGAAATAGTAGAAACTCAAACCCCTAAACCCTATGTTTAATGTTGATCCCAACTCCTTCTCTACCCTTGATCTTAGCAAAAATTAGACACACAAGATCTCCAATATGATCCTCCAGTTATCGCTACTCCTTTGACTAAACCTTCTGCTCTTCAAAGCATTCACTGGGCTAAATCTAAATTGTGAAATTTTGCCCCAAGCCTTTCAATTGATCCTCCGATTACTCCTACTCCTTTGCAAGAATCATCGTTCTTCAAAGCCTTTTCTCGATTGGATCCAAGTTGACAACACTTGTGCAAAAACTGCCAAATCAACCCTCGATCTTGGAGTAAAAACCTTAAAGGTTTTATCCCTAAATCCCCCAAAGAAAACATCTTCCTAATTTGGTTACACAACCCTAAATTGGACCTAATCAATCTTGTCTTGACAACAAATAACAAAAATGATTATGTGTCGTTGATGAATGCGTCAAAGAAAGGTTGAAGATGAAGATAATTCTTTGTATCTTTCAGGTTTCAATACTTAGAAATGATGCATGAATGTGTATTTATATGTATGTGTGTGTAGAAAGGAATAGAGAAAAATAGAATTTTAGCCAAAAATTCACATTTTAGAATTTGGTAGAGAGTGTATTGACTCTAAAATGGAATGATTCAATACATAAGAGGAATGAGTCAATACGATACCAAACAGAGTTAATACATTGAAGCCAGTAGCCAGTTTTTTTAAAAATGTTTTAGGATGAGTCAACTCCAAACACAGGAGAGTCGACCTATTGGCTTAATGTATCGACGGATTCCTTCAATGTATCGACTCTAACCAAGAATGAGTTCACTCATTCGTAGGATGTATCACCCACTCTTCTTATGTATCGATATATTAGATGCAGATTCAAATTCTTTGAAAATCTATTCAGTATGTATCAACATGTGCAAAAGATGTATCGACCCACAAATGACTTTTTTATAATGAAAATTTCATATTTTTGTCATGTGAAGGCATACGTAATCTAATTTTACATGTCCTATGATGATGCACTTCTGGACAAAGACTATAAGGTCCAACATACACAGAGAGCTAAACTACCTAGTTTTGACATCATATAAAACCTATCTAAGAGAATATTGCACTTACATACTCCCCATTTTTTTATGATGGAAAAACATACTAGCCATTATTGGTGTCTTTGGAAAAGCTCCCCCTGAATATGTGCATCATAAACCTTGTGCTTCTCCCCATTTGACAACATCAAAAAGAGGCAAAAACGAAAAACGTGAGATGCATCATTGTTGAAGCAATAAAGCAGCAAGCAAAAAATATTAAGTACCCAGTTTTGTCGTCTCCACAGGGATCGGTGCAATATGAACGTCGTTCAATGGCCTCTACATTTCTAAGCCTATTGTTCAAAAGTTTAAATTTAAAAGGTTCAAGGAACCATGGATAAAAACAGAAAATATAAAGTAAAGACAGAAATATAAACGGAGCCTTGTTGGGATTAGATTTCATCAATTGATAACATATGCATTCTTTTGATCAAATTAAACACAACACAATCATTCGTCTAATATCCTTACGTATCACCCACGAGAAAGCTTATCTCTAACGCAGCGTCGAGAGAACAATTGTGTTGTCTCATTGGTGATCTCTCATCCAACAAAAACACAACACAGAGCATTACGAACTTATACTCACTCAAATGCTAAGCTTAAACCTATCTCTAGCATTTAGGACCTAACAGGTAATCATCCTAGATCCAGATCTGAAGAGTATATCTCTATCACGGTTTAAATCAAAGATAAACAGGTAAGCAAAGACGACACCCATATAGGATAAACGATTGTTTCATATAAAACACAATTATCAGAATATGTACACACGCTTAACCCTTTTTACATGTATTCACCTAATCTGCCAAATGGCTGTGAATATCGTTCTTCATCACTATTATCACCGACCCACACAATATCATATTGATCATACTCATGCTACCCATACTACTTAATCAACACAATACTAGAGAGGATACAATGAATATCAATTTACAAAACCATGTCAAAAGTTTGTTCATTGATAGAAGAAAATTTGAGATCAAAGATGTGAAAAGGTTTTGTCAAGACCCACAAATAAGCAATCAAAGATAATCAATCAATAGAGAATCCAAACTAGTTCACAAACATATATTAGATGAAATACATAAGGTATCAAAAGATTACATCCAAACCCCAACAAGAGATCAAAGATCTTACCTCCTCCCTCTTAGGGTTTTGTGTTTCTCTCTCTAAAATAGATGAAGAGAGATAAGTTCTGATATATAAAATGTTACAAAAAATAGATTCCTCTCCTAAAAAGCAATAAAAACACTTAAATAGAACATTCAGGATCTGTCATGTTCGCCTAGCAAACAGTAAGTTAGGCACGTGAGGTGTCTCTGAACAGTCAAACCGCCCCTGAGACTTTTCCAAACGTTTGCTAGGCGAGCATTCCTTCGCCTAGCG